CGGCGCGAGCGCGACGAATTGGTCGCACGCAAACCTCTGGGAGGCAATCCCACCGCACTGCCGCAGTGGGCTGCTGCGGGCCCGCTGGATGAAGGACCCCCTGGACCAGGCGGAGACCGATGCCCGCGGCATCACCGAGGCGGACTGGGCCGGCAACGCTGCCCCGGACAGGCTCGCCGACACGGGGGCGCGGGCCCAGCCCCCACCCCATCGACCTGGGCCGGCGGCGGGCGCAGCAGCTGGGCGCGCTCGAGGCGCTACAGCGCGCGGCTGCGCTGATGGCACTGGCCGCTCTGCAAACGAACCACGGCCTGGGCCCGGGCGGGCCCCGGGCGCGGCGCCGCCGGGCCGCGCCAGGGCACCGCCGGACGCGCGCGCCCCGCGCGGAGGGCGCAGCCGCGATGGCCGCAGCCGCTGCGCCGCCGCCGCAGCGCGGGCAGGCGCCCGCGGTGGCCCGGCGCCCAGGGGGCAGCCGCGGCAGCGCGGTACCTCTTTGCGGGCCGCGCCTGGCTGGCGCACACGGCGCCCCAGGACACAGCCTGGGTCGCCTGCGCACGCTGCGGATGCTGGGAGCCGTCGCGGCCGCAGCTGGCCGCCCGCGCGGCGTTTGGGCGCCCGCGCCGCCGCCGCGGGCGGGCACGCTGCGCGCGCTGGCGGCGAAGAGGCGGCTTGGCGCGCCGTCCTCCAGGATCGGCTGGCCGCGCGCCCTGGCCCGCCGGGCTGAGCCGGCGCCGGGCGTGCGCGGGCGTGGGCGCTTGCCCCCATTGCCCCTCCCCTTCCCTCCTCCCCCTCGCCGTTTCCGCCGCAGTCGTCTTCGTCTGTCGTTCCCTCGTCTTGCCGCTGGGCCCCGCTGCGACGGTAAAAAAGTGCGCGCGCGCCTTCGCCCAATGCCCAATGCCCAATGATGCAGCCAGACGCTTCGTGTCATGCCCGCCGCCTGCCCCGCCAGAATGAAGTCGCGGTTTCACGCCTGCCTGGCCCTGCCGACACCAGAGCTGCCCCCCCTGACTTCCCCCAGGCGCAACCTCCGCCCTGCCCCGCCTCGTCGATCCGAACGTTGCGACCTGATTCGAAGCCAGCCGAGCCGGACTCGATGAAGGGGGGGGGGGGGGGGCTGCGCCATTGCTCACGCAACGGCGCAACGCGCCCAGGCGCTTCACGATAACATGGAGACGGCCTGGCGCCAGTGGGCAGAGAAGCAGCATCAGCAAGAGACAGCGCCCAGACGGACTCCGCGACGCCCCCCTGGACCCGCGAGCCTGGACAGAAGAGGGCCGCAGGATATTCCTCAGCAGCATCTGCAGCCCGACGAACCCAGACGATGGGATGCCCGAATCGCGCCCCTGGGACGGGAGGCGCGCCGCCCCGGCGCGCGTGGTCGCACGCCTCATCAAGCAGAATGGGCGCACGCTCTATCGGAAGGACAACCTCCTCGAGCAATGGCTCTCCTACCTGGGCCCCGACCACGCCCAGCTGCACACTGGGCTGGGCGGGAACTCCAACCGGCGCAGCCAAAGGCGCCCCGCGAGATTTGTCGCCATACAGGGGGTGCAGAGACTGTCGTCGCCAGAGCTAGCCCGCCCGCGCGAACGACGCGGGCGGGCGGGCCCGAGCGCCGCCACGAGGGCAACCCCGAACCAGAAAGGCCCCTGGCGCCCGGACTGAGCGCCCATATCCAACGCGAGCATCGGATCGGAAGCTGCCGCAGGGCAGCGCCGCCGCGGCCAAATCCCAGCCCCAGGCAGAGGCTCGCAGGGGACCCCGGGCCCAACGGCAGACGACAAGGCAGCAGGCGTCGCATCTGCCGCGCGGCTGAAAGCACGGCCTGCCAGGCCGGCGCCCTCCGAGGAAGCGCTGGCCAAACCATCCACTGCCCAGGGCGCCCGCGCCGCCACTCCGCCGCCCCCGGGCCAGAAGGCACCCGCTGGAAGTGCCAAGGTGGAGGTCGACTACTCGCCGAGCCATCCCGACGGCAGCCCACAGGAGGCCGACGCCCCAAATCAAGATCTCTGGGCACACCCCGGCGCGGAGCCTCACGCAGCGGACCGCGCGCAGGCGGCTGCCAGCAGCACTGGCCCAGCAGACGCAGCGCGGCTGGCCGCCCAGCCACCGCGAGGGGGCCAGGCCGCACTGGCCAGAGCGGATGCGGGCAGGCCACGGTCCAGCGACCGCCGCAGCGGCAGCGCAGCGCTCGAGCCTGCCGCGACGACCGAACCCAGCGACGGACGAGCGCGAAAGTCCACCAAGAAAGGCGAGCGAGAATACCTTGGCCAACCTCGCCGCCCCCGGACTGAACGCACTAACCCCTGGGCCAACTACCAAGGGTCGAGAACCTCCTCCTCAGCCGCTGGCTCGCCCCGCGCTGGCTCAGAGGCGCGCGGGGGGCGCGGGGCTCCGCGGGCCGATCCACGCGACGCCTGCGACGACGACCAACGACGCGCCGCGCGCCCCGCTTCGCCGGCTGGCCACCTGGCAACGCGGCGGCGGGCGTGGGCCTACAACGCCAGCACCCAGGAGACCTGGCCGGATGTCGTCAAACGGCTAAAGCGGTAATGTGGCGCGCTCATTGTCGAAGGATGGGACGCCGTCTGCGATGACCGAGACGGCAGAGGAAAAGGATGAGGCACTGGCAACCCCGATGGGGCACGGCTAATTTTGCGGGGAGTCCGCGGCCGACCTCTACCACTCCAACTACGACGCCCGCAGGGTCTGCAGGTAGCGAGCAACTTGGGAAAGCCAAAACAAAAACGACAAGGAACGGGGCAAAATAAAAGGCAACGACCCGCTCGGGAAAGGAAAGAGACAAGCCGACCCAACCTGGCCCAACAACGACCAATCCACGCCGCGCTGCCCCGACCCGTCGGGCCCACCTGGCCTCAGAGGCCCCAGTGGGCGCCGCGGCCGCGCTAGGCGACGCCCGCGCCAGAGCGCCCGGCACCGGGCTTCCTCGCGCTGCCCTCCGACCCGCGCCCCCTCCCCCCGCCCCGGGGCCCCCCTCTGTTCACGCAGCCACTAATGCACTGATTAGGTGCCCGCAGACTTGCCATATGCTGTCCGCCCAGACAGCGCGCGGCATTCAACGTTCAACGGCTTCCGCCGCCCGTTCGCACAGGTTACTGCACCGACTAGGTGCTCAGATACCCGCCATGTTCTGTCCACCCAGACAGCGCGTTGCATTCAACGGTTTCTGCCGCAATGTCTTCACGCAGAATACTGCGCCGACTACGTGCTCTTAGACGGGCCATGCGCTGTTCGCCCAAAGCTGTGGCCCCACGGCTTCGGCCACAGTTTCGACGCGGGCAACTCCCCGGGACACGCGCCTCAGCTCGCCGCGCACGGTCCAACCAGACAGCGCGTTGCCTCCTTCGTCCCTGGGCCGCAATTCTCTCTCCTGCCCCGCTTTGGCCCTGGCCACAGTGTGGCCCCTGGCGCGGCGAGCGACGCGGATGGCGGCAGCGTGGCCACAGCAAGGGCCGCCCACCGGGCAGCCTACGCGCTGGCGCTGGGCCGCCTGGCGCCGACGCCCTGCCTGCTGGGGTCCCCCCGCAGGCGGGGCGCTCCTCCTCCCTGTCCCCTGCCTCTTCGCTGTGCCTCTTCCCTCCGTCCCTCCGCGCGCTGTCATGGCGCCGACGCTGCAGCAGCGGCTGGCAGCGACCCCCCATGTGATGGTGTTCCTTGGCCATGCGCTTCGTGCAGCCCTCAAACTTCACCCATCGGGCACAGCATTTTGCCGGTGGCAGTCTGAAACCTAAATTGCCTTTAGTCACTTGCGCACCCCGTCGACCCACCTGGGCGGCTCCGCTGCGCTTCCCCTTACTTGCAGCGCCTAGTCGGCACAACCCTGGGCGGCTCTACTGCACGCACCCTTGCGTTCCGCGCACTGGGCCTCGTCAGCGCCCGCGGACGCAACGACGCCGCGGCCTGGCCGCTGCCGCGGCCCCCGCTGCCGAAGCTGGCCACGCCTGTCTCCCTCCGCCTCCGCGGCCGCCCTGTCTGTCCCAATGTTTCCTCTTGCACGCGGCGGCGTGCCCTCCAGCTGGGACGCCGGGAAAGTGCACTGTGCAAGTAGGAGCTGCCGCAGGGTTGAAAACCCTGCTGTCTGTCCATGGTGGGGGCCAGTCCCCGCGTGAAAAGGTTGGCGGTCGGCATCACGTCGTGGCCACTGTGGGTGGCCGCCGTAGCGGTGAGACCCTGCTGGTGGCTGCAGCTTGCTGAGCTCTGTTCTGGCGGGACACAACTACGGCTCGTTGGGCCTGTCACAATGCCCTGCGTGCTGATGCCGTTCGTGGGGCCCGGTGGTGAGTCTTTGGTCGTCGGGTCTTTGGCCCAACCGTTTTTGCTGTGGGCGTTTGGGCTTGTTAGCGTCGTGGTTTTCAATCGGTAGTTAATCCGCAAGGGCTATCCGCAAGTCCTCCTTTTTCTCCTCCTCCTCGTCCCTCATTTCTTTCGCTTCCTTAGTTCCTCCGCCCTGGGCCGGGGCTGAAGAGGATGAGGCGGAGGAGGAGGAGGCTCCAGAAAGCGGAGTTCTGTTAGGAACATCAAGAAAGCCTGCCCAGGTGACCCCGGCCCGTCCCGCTCCCCTCGGGGGCGGCCAAGAGCGGGGCGTCCAAGGGGGGGGGGCGCAAATCATGGCCGGCGGCACGTGCGCGGCCCAAGGGGGGGCCAGGGACGCATTGAAATAAGAAGAGGCGCCATGAAATCTGAAGGAATACCCTGGCCCACGCCATGGCATCCACGCCCCCCTCTACGGGAGGTTAGTGCGGCGTCGGCGTGCGCAAAGGTTTTTGACACCGCGCCGATCGTTCAACCTTGAATCGATCGCGGCCCCGATCGTTCAAGGTTGAGTCCCGTCGGCTCCAGTGGCGTCACCGTGCCCCTCGGTGACTCCGCGTGACAGAACTCAACCTGGAACGTCTTCGCCGGCGTCGCCGGCGCGCCAACGCTGTCATCACCCCCCCCCCCTCTGCCGCCCCCGAGAGTCTGCCCAAAGGACCCTGGTCCGTTCCGCTCCCCCCCCCTCGCCGGGGCGGCAGCCAAGCGACCGGGGCCCCGCCGCTGGGGGGGGGCGCCCGCGGGGCATCCCCTCCAGGCGTTCGAGCCAAGCGCGGGCGCGCGGGGATCCTCAGGACGAGGGCGGCGGCGCCGGCGGCGACGACGACGATGACGATGCTGCTGGCGAGGAAACAAAAAAAAACAGATACGTGTGATCCCACTCTGGGCCTCCAGGGGGGCCCTCGTCACCACGGCCAGACGCGCCTGCAAATGCTGACTCTGGGAGAGGTCCAAGGTAGTTCTCGGACGAGGAGGGGGTAGGACCAGAGGAGGAAGAGGAAACAGAAGAGGAGGAGAACTGACTAATAACTGATGCTGGGCAAACCCAGTCACGGGCCGACGCCGTCCTTTGCTTCAGAACAGAACATATATCACCGCCACCGAGAACCCATGGGGGGGGCGGGCGACCCCAAGGCGGTGGCACGCGTCAGTGTCACCCAGCACTGAACGACCCTCATGCGTGCCAGCGCCAGAGGGTGGATCCGCCTCGATGTGCTCTCGGTGGCTGTGGTATCGAGACTCGCTTCTGACTGCGGAGCAGATGGGACGAGGACGCACACACCCACACGCACATACACAAAACACACACACACACACACATAAACTCAACCTCACACACCCACACGCACACTTTTCGATCGCTCGCAGCCCGGGTGGGAAACCATTCGAACGCCTAAAGACAAACAGTGCGAAGGATGGCTAATCCCTCGCAGAGCACACACACTCACAACATTCACACACCCGCATACGTTTCCCCGACGCGGCAATGGACACAACCAAGGGGCTAAGTAATGGCGAGCTACGTCAAGAGTGAAGTTACCACCTTGTTTGGGAACCTGGCCACAGGTGTGGGCCTCCATCAACTTCGAGTCCGGGGCAAGACCGCTCAGCGGTAGAGTGAAGCACATGCAAGGACAGGGCGCACAAGAAAAAGTCCGCCAACCCTTGTGCGCGTGTGAGACGCCCTTCCGTTTTAAAAGTAGCTGTCGGTATCGTTGTCATCGTCGTCGACGGTCGCAAGGACGGAAGCGCGGGCCGTGATGCCTCCGCAAGAAGAATAGATACAGAGAACGCCAAGGCAGACAAGCAGGTACACGAGGGAGAAGCACGCACGCACAAACATGCACGCACGCTCGCACACACGCGAACACAAACACACACACACACACACACACACACGCACAAACATGCACGCACGATCGCACACACGCAATGATGCAGGAGGCGAGCGCGCGACGTTGGCGTAAGCTGCAGTCCCACGCGTAGCGATCGCGCACAAGCCGAAGCCGCGAAGTCCTGGGGAAGAGGCTGGCTAGGGCGTGTTGGCAAAAAGGAAAAAAGGGCAATGCGAGTGTCACGCACCATACACGACAACGCACGACAAGAGGGGGCCGGAGAAGCGCCGCAAACAGTAGACGAATCGGGAGCCGCGCTGTTCGGGAATTGCAAGCCCACGGATCCCAGGAGCGTGAGAAGGGGGGCGAGACGAAGACACGGAGAGGCGATGGAGGGGAGCCTGGAGCACCCAGGCCGCAACTCGACGAAGTGGGCGTGCCAGCGGAAGAAAGAGAAAGAGAGAGAGAGATGATACACACACACACACACACACACGCGCACGCACACACACACACACATGTACATCTATATATATATATACACATATATATGTATATGTATATATATATATATATATAGATATAGATTCCTCTTCCTATATTTTTATAAGCCCGGGCGGGGGGAAAACCCGTCACCCCCCCCCCAAAAAAAACCGGACTCCCGGGATCTGGGGCTTTGGGGCCCTTCGGACGGGCCTCGAAGCGGCCCCCCGGGCCTCGCAGGGCGTTTTGCCAAGCCTTCGCAGCACTCCTAGGGCGATCAGGGGGGTCATCGGAGACGTCCTGGAGAACCCGAGGACAGCACAAGAGCGCTCCAAGAAGCCGTCATACCACGAAAGATCGCTCCAAGACGTACCAAGAGGCCTCCAAGAGCACCCCCAAGAAGGCCCCAATAGGGACAAATAATTGATTTAATGTAGATTTTTGGTGAATTGGGGGTTATCATGTTTTCGGCTTCCCGACGCTCCAAGACAGCGGTCTTCTGGGCGTCCGAAGTCGCCTGGAAGGCTCCAAAACCGCCCCACAGCCATCCGAAAGGACTTCAAGGCAGTCCAAGAGAGCCCCAAAACGGCGCACCAGGGGTCCCAAATGGCCCTAAGAGAGCCCCATGGCGGCCCAAGATGGCCCCAAGACACCCTCCGAAGCATTCCAAATCGTGACCGGGGCGTTCAGGGAGACCGCGGTTAAATGCATGTTGCCCTTAGGAAGCCCCAGAGGCCCCCAGAACACGCCTAGGAGGCCTCCAGAAGGCTTAGGAAAGCTTGAGAACTTTGGTGAGGCCCCCAAAGGCTCTCCAAGGAGGACCCTCCGCAAAAAGAGCTGAGGAGGATGGGGAGAATGCCCAGGGTATGGCGAGAATGAGGAAAAATAAGCATGGAGCCAGGATAACGAACAACATTATCATAATGGCGATGGCAAAAAAGGCAGCAAGGAGTTATCGTTAAAGTGTCCGCTTGACCTTCCTGCCTTTTCCACCTGCGTAGCAATCTTCAAGGACCAAGGTGAATGGCGCGAAGCGCCACTGCAGTCTTATATATATATATATATATATATATATATATGTATATATATATAACTATATGTATATATGTGCGTCGACGGCGCCCCGTGGCACGAAACCCCCTCCCGCCTTCCTGGGGGGTTTCGTACAGGGCGCACCGGGTGCCGCCGACGACCTGGAACCCCCCCTCTCCCTCTTTCTGGGAGGGTTTTGTACCGGGCGCACCGGCGCACCCCCCCTGTGGTAGTGGGGCGGGGGGCTCCTGTGGGAGTGGGGGGGCTCCTGTGCGGGCGGGGGGGGGCTGCGTGGGAGCGAGGGTGGTGGGTCTTTGGGGCGTGGGCGTGGGGTGGGAGGGAGGACTAGATGCATGAATGGAGGTACGGATGGATGGACGGATCGACGGACGGATATGAGATAGATGGTCCAGGGTCTGGCCCCCCCCACCTCACGCTGATGCCATCGGCTCCCCCCCCGCGCGATGGCTCCCCCCCATTGTGGGTGTGGCGTGGTGGCCCCCCACCAGCCCCCCTGTGGGCGTGGGGTGGTGGTGGTGGTGGTGGTCGTCCTCGTGGTCGTCGTCGTCGTCGTCGTCGTCGTCGCCGTCAGCGTCGTTGTCGCGGTGAAGAGTGCCGTCGTCGTCGCCGGCGCTGCCGCCGCCGCCGCCGCCGCCGACGCCGCCGCTGGACCCCCGCGCTCTGGCCATCCCGGGGGGCTTCGCACCGGGACGCACCGGGGCGCACCGGCCCCGGGAGGGTTCGTACCGGCCTGCATCCGCGGTGCGGCCAGCACGAAACCTCAGGGAGCACTAAGCCGGGTGACGCCTACGTAAACGGGGTAACAGACCCACTGTGGGATCCAGGTGGAAAAGCTGGAACGGCCAGAACAAAACAAATGCACTGCATTTTCCTGCAACGCAAAAAACAAGTGCACTGCAATGTGTTGGCAACTCAGTGCGGAAAAACTGCAAACAAGCCCCACAGACCGGGTAACAGAGGGCCCAAAACAAAAAGTTGCAGTGCAGTAGCCGAAAATGTGCAACGCAGCCAGCATGTGGAAGGTGCTGCTTCGAACGCGGAAGCCAAAGAAACTGCACTGCAACAAAAGGGCCATTTGTTGCCTCGAACCGGCCGTTTCCTGTTACCCCGTCTGCTGTTACCCCGTCTCTGGCTCCCTGAAAACCCCCCGGACGAGCGATTTCGGGGGGGGGTGAAGTCCTGAGAACTGTTTTTTGGGCACGCTTCAGAACTTTTACACGGTTGTCTCCCAATGGGGCGCTTCCGCCAGTGGAAGTGAAGCCTTGACTGGGGCCCACGAAGAGGGAGCTTGGGGAGAGGGTGTATCCCAACATCGTTGACGAGTCTTGGGTTTACACTGGTCCTCCTCTTCCTCCTCCTCCTCCTCCTCATTCTGACCTAAACGGTGTTGTTCGTTTTCGCGTTGCTTTCATTTTCCATCGTTATGTCTTCAATCCGCCTTTACCACAAAACGAAGTCTAAACGAAAACGGCCCACGAAATCGCCAAAACACCGTTTAGCTCCAGCCCTGCTTCATCAGGTTACACGAAGAAGATCGTGAATCTGGCATGTATGGAAGACAACCCAAGTCAATGTTGGTACCCAGCTACATGGACTTCGCATGCGAAATCGGCTTTGGCAGCGGAAAATCGCCACCATGTGTGTGTGTGTGTGCTTGAGCACAAGACCAGGCGAATATGGCGGACATTGCATAGGGCTGGTTTCGCTTGATGGACGGTGTCGACCTTAACTGGTTCAAAGGAAAAGGTAAGCAGGAAATTCGAAATTAAGATCCGAGGCGGACTCGGACCAGGACCAGAAGAATTGATTTCGGTCAGGGGTATCAACCGAACTGTAGAATGGAACCGGGACGGGTTATGGCATGAGGCAGGTCAGAGACATGCAAAAATATGTGTCAGAGACTTGGGCCTGGAGCAATACAAAATGAGATATCAGAAACCCGAGGAAAAGCAAACGCACGCGGAGGAATGCGAGGAACCACTTCCAAGCCATGAAATTGGTGGCCCGAGTCGATTATATTTGCACAGGCTTGTTCGGTACAGAGTTCTCATTCAAAGAACTTGCACGCCCCATGTCCTTTCCAATTCGAGGGGCATGGAAAGGCCAGGCAAAAACAAGAATCTCAAGATCCACGGCAACTGCGGGCATCAATAATTGTATCAAGAATGCCCTACTGATTTACCCGTGTGGACTGGCAAAGAATATGCGGGATGTTTCTTACAAAAATGATTGAAGAAACGTAAATCAACACACGTAAACACAGGTATGCGGGGATTACACTTGATAAGGTCGTGGAGTTCGCCGCAGAGCGTCGTGGCCTTGTCTTCTGGAAACAGAATGCTACTGAATGGTGAAGGGTGGATCAGTGGCGTCAGGATTACAACCAATTCTCACAGGCTTCAACGTTGACTACGGTATCGAGATAAAAAAAACGATACAAATGCGGCCAATGCCATTACAAGCAGGCGAGAACTAGAAAACGTCAGACACATTGAGGTTTGTCAACTTTGTTTGCAAGAGAAGGTACGACGAGGAGCTGTTAAAGTGATGAAGTACCCCGCGCGCACCGGCCATGCTCCCAGGGGGTCCCTGGGCGGCCATGGCGCTTCCCTGAAACTCTCCAAGGCGTCCATGACCGCCCAGGAAGCCCCCAAGAAGGTCCAAAAGGGGCCCAAGTCCCGGAACGATCGCCCGAAGACGCTCAAGATGGCCTCAAGATGGCGCAAGAGGCTTCTAAGGCGCCCCAAGAAGCCTCCAAGAGGTCTCCCAAAGGTACAAGTCAATGATTGTCCGAAGTGTTTGACGGATTGAGGCCTTCTCACCTATTCAGCTTTTCGACGCCCCAAGACGGCCCATGAGGCCCCCAAGACCACCCCAAAACGGCCCATGAGGCCTCCAGCAGGGCCCCGAGACGGCCTGTGAGCGCTGCAAGACGGTCCAAGAGGAGCCCAAGACGGCCCAAGAGGGCCCCAAGACTGCCCCAAAAGGGGCCCCAGAAAGGTAACCTTCCGACCGAAGGACCCCACAGGAGGCCCGAAGAGGCGTCCAAGAGGCCCCAGGAGGGCCCCAAGAGGACCCCAAGAGAACCAAGAGGCCCCAAAACAGCCCCCGGGAGGCCTCAAACTGCCTTCCATAGGCCCCCGAGAGGCCTCCCACGAGAGTCCAAGGAACATCCCTTAGCGTTATAAGCCACAAACCAGGCACGATGGCGGGACTTGCCGTAGGCAGTTGGTCAGAGTGAGGGGGCCGAACGGTCATTGTCACTGGGTGCGTGGCTGAAGAGGGCATTCGTGGTGAGAATTCTGCTTGTTACGTTGTTGTTATTGTTGATGTTGTTGTTATTGTTGTTGCTGCTGTTGTTTGTTGCTGTTGGTGTTGTTGGTGTTGTCGCTGTTGTTGTTGTTGTTGCTGTTGATGTTTGTTGTCGTCGCCCCACCCGCGACCCATCCGCGACCCACCCTGCGACCCACCCCGCGACATACCCCGCGACACACCCCGCGACCCACCCCGCGACCCACCCGCGACCCAACCCGCGACCCACCCGCGAAACACCCCGCGACCCACCCACGACCCACCTGCGACCCACACGCGACCCACCCCGCGACCCACCTGCGACCCACCCCGCGACTCATCCGCGACCCATCCGCGACCCACCCGCAACCCACCCCGCGACCAACCCGCGACCCACCCCGCGACCCACCCCGCGACCCACCCTCAAAAGAGGAAAAACCACCCCGACCCGACAATTGACGTTTACTAAACGGCCCGGGGCGTTCACTAAACTGCCCTGCCCTGTTCAATTCGTTCCTTCTGCATTTACTAACGGCTTCGCTTGTCGGGGTGATCATTATGGGGTGGATTTTCTGCCCTCTACACCCGCGACCCACCCTCGACTCAACCGCGACCTACCCACATTGGTTTAACGAAAAAATCGGTCACTGCGGCGGGCTCGTTGTATATGCTGTTAACTTGTGGTGCCTGCGGCGGGCTTCTTCAGAGTCTCGCAAACTGCCGACGTCCCCGCCGCCCCCTCACTCTTATCCGCACCCGACGACGACGACGACGACGACGACGACGGCGACGACGACGACGACGACGACGACGACGACGGCGACGACGACGACGACGACGACGGCGACGACGACGTAATCGGCGCGCGTCGGGTGATGCGCGCCGCGGCCCCCGTTACCGTTACCCCCCCCGCCCCCCCCCCCAGGGTAACACCAGGAATAGAGCATGCTTCTTTCAGACGAAGAATTACAGTTGACCCCCCCCACTGGTGCCCGTTCGTGGTTTCAATTCAAGTGGCCCCACCGGGGCTCGCACCCTGAAGTCCTTTCGCGCGACCGGCGAAGAGCGAACACCCTTCATATGTTGGCATTCGTACAGTCGGGGCGATGACCTAAGGAACCCTAGATTAGGAACGGGGCCCCTTGCTTTCAAGAAGTTAAACTTCGATTCCCCATCGAAAACCTCTGGAAAACAGAAGGCAAACTGTCGAACAATCAAGGAACACCGAGTCCCTCCCCAACGAAAAGGGTTCCTTCTCCAGGGCCCCGGCTGCATTTCCGAAGAATCATGACTGTTGACCCTCAACGGGCGGCCATTCGTGCTTCTCAAGCTGAAGAGCCCCCTGAAGAGCCCCCATTGGGGTTCGCACCCGTGCTGATGAGGGGAAGTCTTGCTGCTCCTATAATATTGTAACTGTTGAGTGCATTGTTGGCCCCTGGGCTGCCACAGCAACGGCTCCCGCTTAATAATGACTTCCCCGCGTTTTCTTGTCAGGACTCGCGCTTTCACCCGAGATTTTTGTGCAATTAATTCAGGATCGCACTCTAGATCAGGAATGCTTGTCGAATGTATCCAGCTGCTGCGCTCTTGACGCCCATGAACCGCGCTCTTGCACGACACGTCATTCCAATTTCATGCGGAATCGTGCGGTCGCGTCAGGCTTCTTCTCAATTTCACAAAAGTTCGCGTCACTGCCCCGCCCGACCCGCCCCGCCCGAACGTCCGCGACGGGTGGGTCGCGGGTGGGGTCGCGGGTGGGTCGCGGGGTTTGTCGCGGGGTGGGTCGCGGGTGGGTCGCGGGGTGGGTCGCGGGTGGGTCGCGGGCCGGGTCGCGGGGGGAACGACGACAACAAACAACAAACAACAAACAACAAACAACAAACAACAAGAGCAACAGCAACAGCAACAGCAACAACAACAACGACAACGATAACGACAACGATAACGATAACGACAACAGCAGCAACAACAATGCAACAAGCAGAATCCTCACCACGGATCCGCACTTAAGCCACGCACCCAGGGACAATGAATGACCGTTCGGCCCCCTTACTCTGATTATCGTCCCCTTCATCCACCTGCAGCATCCCCCGTTCCCATCTTTATCAACATTCCTCCTCGCTTGAGGCGGAAAGGGGGACATGTCGATTCCCCACGCCAGCCTCCCCGAAGGAGGGAATGACAGGGAGACGGGAGCGAGAAAAACTTAAGGAAGAAGGATCAACGCAACTCATCCGGACCACTCCCTTGGGAACCCCAAAGCGCCTGCCACGCCCTAGATTACACCCCCCCGTCCCCCCGCCTCCCCCCCTGTTCTCGATCCTCCACATTCCTCCTCCTGCTCACCCCTGACCTCCTGTCAGGAAGGCGGGACGCAAACTCGCCACTGTCGGCCACCTCGGCTCGCGGCTCGCTGGCACTCGGGGGCCTCTCGGCTGCTTCACGCGCGCCGGCGCCAACCAGGAGCGAATGAACAACAGGAGCGGCGGAAGGAGGGAGGCGGGGAGGGGGAGGCGGGGCAGGGGGGGACGAAGTGGAGCAAAGAGATGGAGAGGCGGGGAAAGGAGGACGGGTGAGAGGACGGGGGGCAGGACGGGGAGAAGGGGGGGATGGGCAACGAAAGGGAGGGCACAAGAGAAGCGAGGATCAGGATAAACCTGTAAGGACGGGGTTGTGGGGCCAGCGTTGCGCCATCCAGTCATCCCTCAAAGTATGGAAGATCGTGCCTTGTACATGTTGGGTGTATAAGAATGCTCCTACACGGCCAAAAAGCCTCCCAGGCGGCCCCAACACTGCCTAAGACGGTCTCAAGATTCTCTGAGGGGGTCCTCAGACGGCCAAAGGAGGCCTCAAGACTGGCCAGGTGACCCCCAAGACTGCCCAGGGGGGCTCCAAGAGGACGCCAAAAAGGACTGCGTCCCCTTAGGGTTTTAACAGGTTTGAGCATGCTGGTCCAGTCTGGCCTCCGAATGCCAAAGACGGCCCAGGAGGCTCCAAGACGGCCCAATAAGGCCCGAAAGACCTCAGGGTAGCGGGGCAGAAGGGCAGGACGAGAAGGAGGAGGAAGGATCAGATCCAGAGATCCACGAGAGCAGAGGGTACACGCGCGCCTGCTGCGCTCCAGCGTGCGGCACGGGGCGCTGCTGAAGTCGGAGAGGGGGGAGAGGGAGAAGGGAGGGGGGAGGTGGTCCTAACATCACCCAGCACACGCCTCGCCCAGAAGAGCGCGCCCCAAGGCCCGCGGGCTCCTCAGCGGGGTCGGCACCGCTGCGGGCGCGGCGCTTTCAAGCGCCTGGCGGGTGGGCCTCCTCCTTCTCCTCCTTCTCCTCCTCCTCCTCCTTCTCCTCCTCCTCCTCCTCCTCCGCACCCCCCCTCTTGCTGCTCATCCTGTTCCTGCTCCTCCCCCTCCTCCTGTCCCACCCTGCTCCGTCGCACTCTTCCTCGCACACGCTCTCCTCCTCGCCCGCCGTCAACGTCATGATGATGATGATGAGGACCATCATCATCATCATCATCGTCATCATCATCATCATCATCACCATCATCACCATCATCACCATCATCATCATCATCATCATCAGCATAATAATAATAATAATAATAATAATAATCATAATCATAATCATAATAATAATAATAAGAATAATCATCATCATCATCATCGTCATCATCATCAGCATCATTATCATCATCATCATCACCACCACCACCACCGTCATCATCATCATCAGCATCATCATCAGCAGCAGCATCGTCATCATGCTCATCATCAACACCAGCATCATCACCATCATCACTACCACCATCAGCATCATAATCGTTAGCATGCTCATCATCCTCACCATCACCATCACCATCGTCATCATCATCGTCATGAAAAACAAGCATCATCATCACCATCACCATCATCAGCATCATCAGCATCATCACCATCATCTTCTTCATCATCAGCACCATCACCATAATCATCATCATCATCAGCAACATCATCATCATCGTCGTGCTCATCATCATCACAAGCATCATCATCATCATCACCAGCATCAGCTGCATCATCATCGTTATCAGAATCATCACTATCACCATCATCATCATGGTCGGCATCATCGTCATCATCGTCATCGTCATCGTCATCATCATCACCATCATCTACATCACCACCATAATTATCATCACAATCACCATCATCAGCATCAGCTTCATCATCATCATCATTATCAGTTTGATCATCATCGTCATCAGCATCCTCATCCTCATCCTCAGCCTCCTACTTATCATTATCGCCTTCATCAGCGTCACCATCATCACCATCATCAATGCCATCATCAGCATCATCATCATCGACATCAACGTCATCATCATAGTCAGCAGCATCAGCATCATCATCCTCATCCTCCTCCTCGCATCATCATCATCATCGTCATCATCGTCATCAGCGTCATCATCATCATCATCACCATCATTGTCACCATCATCATCATCATCATCATCACCATCATCATCAACACCATCATCATCACAATCCCAATCATCATCATCACCACTACCACCACCATCACCATCATCATCACCACCACCATCATCATCCGTCTCCTCCTCCTACTCCGCCTTCTCCTCCTCCTCCTCGTCCTCCTCCTCCTCCTCCGCACCCCCGCAATCCTCATCTCCTCATCCTCCTCCTCCGCCCCTCCTCCTCTGACGTAATGCTCAGCATGGTCCTCCTCCTCCCCCTCCTCCTCATCCTGTCTCGTTCTGCTCCGTCGCGCACATCCTCGCACGTGCACTCCTTCTCGCACACCATCATCATCACCACCATCATGATCCTCAGCAATAGCATGACCATCACCATCACAATCACCATCATCATCATCCTCATCATCATCAGCATCACCATCACCATCATCACCATCATCATCATCAGCATCAGCATCATAATCATCATCGTCAACATCATCATCGTCATCATCACCCCCATCGTCATCGTCATCGTCATCATCATCAATAGCATTACCATCACCATCATCATCACCATCACCAACACGATCACGATAACCATCACCATTACCATCAGGATCACCATCACCATAACCATCACCATCACCATCACCATCACCATCAGCACCACCATCACAATCACCATCACCATCACCATCACGATCACGATCACGATCACAAACCATCACCATTACCATCAGCATCACCATCACCATAACCATCACCATCACCATCACCATCAGCGCCACCATCACCATCACCATCACCATCACAATCACCAGAATCATCATCATACTGATCATCATGAGCATCATCAGCATCGTCATCATCGCCAACATCATCATCGTCATCGTCATCACCATCATGAACCATATTACCATTACCATCATCACCATCACCATCACCATCATCACCACCATCAACATCACCATTACAATCACCATCACCATCGCCATCACCAACAGCACGACCTTCACCATCACTATCACCATCACCATCACCATCATCATCATCAGCATCATCATTTCTATAATCATTAGCACTATCACCATCACAGTGACCATCATCATCATCAGCATCATCATTGTCATCGTCACTATCATCAGCATCGCCATCGCCATCATCATCGCCATCATCATTATCATCAACAGCATTACCATGATCATCATCACCATCACCATCGCAATCATAATCATCACCATCACCATCACCATCACCATCACCATCACCACACCATCACCATCACCATCACAATCACAATCACCATTACCATCACCATCACTATCGCCATCACCATCACCATCAGCACCACCCATCACCATCACAATCACCATCATCATCATCATCATCATCATCATTGTCATCATCACTACGATCAGCATCGCCATCGCCATCATCATCGCCATCATATTATCATCAACAGCATTACCATGATCATCATCACCATCACCATCACCATCACAATCATCACCATCACCATCACTATCACCATCACCAGCACCACACCATCACCATCACCATCACAATAACAATCACCATTACCATCACCATCACCATCACCATCACCATCACCATCAGCACCACCATCACCATCAAAATCACCGTCACAATTACCATCACCATCACCATCACCATCACCATCACCATCAGCACCACCATCACCATCAAAATCACCGTCACAATTACCATCACCCTCACCACCACCATCACTATCATCAGCATCATAATCACCAGCACCATCATCATTCAGCATTCATCATCATCGTCATCATCACCACCCTCATCATCGTCATCGTCATCATCAACAACATGACCATTACCATTTCCATCATCATCACCATCACCATCACCATCACGATCACCATCACGATCACGATCACCATTACCATCACCACCACCATCACCATCACCATCACCGTCACCATCACCCTCACCCTCACCCTCACCACCACCATCACCATCACCATCATCATCATCATCATCAGCATCAGCATCATCATCATCATCATCATCATCATCATCATCATCATCATCATCATCATCATCATCATCATCATCATCATCAAGGCCTCGAGTCGCGCAGGCGAGGATATGGCACACCCGAGCATGAGATCTCGTAGTTGTTACGGGTGCTTTCGCCCGATTGCAAGAATCATATAGTCGTAAATAGCGACCACTACAAATCGAGGAGCAGTGCCGCGTGGGTCGGCGAGGCGAAGTGCCTCGCGCGAGCATCGCACCATCAGGCAAAAATGGGGACGTAGCCAGAGCTTGAGGCACCTTCCACGTGTGCAAGGAGAGCATGGGCGGCCTGCAGGGCCTCTGGAGAGGGGCCTGTGCGGGGTGGTTCGGGGCGTAGCGCGCGCAGGATTGCATGAAGAAGGCGGGGTTGAGAGGGCAAGGACTTGAGGGGCCTCCTACTGGCATTGTGGCAACCGCCGAAACTTGAACAAGCATGGGCGCCGGGGCCACCCAGGGGGCGGGGCGCGTCGTACTGCGCGATACACGCGCCCTACAGCGAGTTCGAGGTCAACCTCCACCTTGCAGAGGGCGGTGAGGTGGGAGGGATGAGCGCGGAGGGCGTCTGTGGGGAAGGTATCGGTGAAGCAGACCCAGGACGTAGGATGCCAGGAGCATGCCTGCCCCGGGCCTTCGACGTCGAAGCGTCCCCTTTAGCATGCTGTCACCACTGGGAATTCCTCTGGCATATGAGTGACTGTGCACGGGCGCGGGCCAGAGGCAGCGAGTTGGGGGTCTGATTGTAGGGGGGTCGCGAGCGGGTGAGCGGCCTGACGCTACGCCTGGACAAAGCCCAGAGGGGGCCCACCTGCAGGGTGGACGGCGGGGGGCAAAGAACTTCCAATCAGGCCACAGGCGGGCGTTCACACGGGCAGTCGGGCGCCCAACTTGTAGGGCACGGAGGTGAAAGCGCGCTGCTTCCCTGGCCGTGCGGTCTTAAGGGGCAACGTAGTGGGCTGGGGGACCCTGCGGCAAAACCAGCAGCATCGAGCGGAGCGAGGGTGCACGCCCGGGGATGCGTGGCGAGGCGTTCGCGCATGACCGCGGCGGGGTCCTGAGCGGACTGGAGAGGGGCAGCATGCGCCCGCGGGGTGCCGGGGGCGTCGCGCAGAGGGCCCCGAATCTCTGCGCACGGAGAGACGCGGACGCGTGAGTCTCCAATGGCCAGGAGGCAGGCTCCGCCGCAGCTCGCCTGGCAGCCGCGGCGCCCGGGGTGACGCGCACGAGCACCACGGTGCACCGTGGGGCTGTCGAGATCGCGGGCGTGGACTCCTCCAGCGTGAGCGGCCGCGCCCGGGCCCGGGGCACCAGTGCGGCTTCCGATGACCACGTCGACGGGAACTTGCCCGCGGGCGGCGACCGACCATTCGAGGAGGCGTCCGCCCTCGGGGGGGGAGGAGGCGGGGCGCACTGGAGGCGCCCCTCGTTCCTGCTCCTGGGGCGATGAGGAGATGGGCGGGCCGGCGTGGGGCAGGGGCAGGGGTGGCGCCTTCAGCAGGGAGGCTCCCAGGCGCAGCCACAACAAGCCGCGCGCGCAGGCTGGGCACGCAAGGTCGTCGAGGCGCCTGACTAACACCCCCCGACGACTCAGGCCGACGCACCCTCGGAGCTCTGCAGCTATGGGAAAAGACCGAAAGTAAGCCAGAGGGATGAGCCCTGGCCGCAGCGGGATGCGAACTACAGACGCAAGGTCGGCGGACCGCCAGATGGAGGTGGGGGCGGTGGCAATCAGTAACGCGCGCAGCGCATGTTCGAGGGGGGAGGAGCGTATCGGACACA